GGTTTCCTGACAAGCACGGAGCCCGATGCGGGGCTCGATCCCAGGACCCCGGGCCCATGACCTGAGCCAAAGGCAGACCCTTAACAACTGAGCCACCCAGACGCCCCTCACTGCAAGATTTGTAGAGAGCACTCTAGTCTGATTTCCAGCCCCAGGGTCCCAGGGTATACAGGTTACTCATGTAAACATTAAAAGTCAGGAAGTGAATTTAGCAGAAGCACCTGAGACTGGAGGTAGAGCTCACACTGCTGTTTCTTCCAATTCCCTACTTTCCAGGGCTCTGTAATCACACTGTACCAACTTCAGGCTTTCCTATACAATGTTCTTTGTGGATGTACCCTGGACCTCCACTACAAAAATTTTAATATCCCCTGGACAGCAACAGATTTTCTAAACAATAAAGCCCTTTTAGAAGACCCCACCAAATTTAAAGGGGAGTTGGAAAGATTAGTGGTCATTCACAAGCCCACTCAGAGGGACCTAGATTGGCTGTTAAGGGGTGTTCTTCCCTGGCAAGATTATACTACAGTTATCAGACAAGCCAGATGGCTCCCTGGGGGAACTCCCCCCCACCCCCAAAGGAAACAGATGACCAGAATCTCTTCCAGGCCCTTCTACAAATGACCAGGAAATAGCTCAGCTGGAGGCTGATAGGGGCTTGATAGGAGCAATATTAGAGGCTTTCACCCTAAAGTGAATTGGTCTAAGTTTAAGTTATGCATTCAGAAAGAAGAGCATCCAAAGGCCTTTGTTAAATGTTTTATACAGACTTTCTAAAGACATAAAACATTAAGCCCGGAAGTTCTAGAACAAAGACATCTTTTTAAATTCCCATTTTATTTGCAATGGAAGTCTTCCTGGTATAAAGAAACAAATTGAAGATAATTTAATTGGATGGGTAGGTCATCCCCTTGATATTCAGGCTGCAATATTAGTTCTTTTTTTTTTTTTTAAGATTTTATTTATTTAGCCATGAGGGATGTCTGGATGGCTCAGTTGGTTAAGCATCGACTCTTGGTTTCAGCTCAGGTTATGATCTCAGGGTTGTGAGATCAAGCCCTGCATTGGTGCCCAAGCTTAGCGTGGCATCTTCTTGAGATTCTCTCTCTTTCCTTCTCCCTGAGAGCAAGAGAGAGAGGAAGCACAAGCAGGGGGAGTGGCAGGCAGGGGAGAAGCAGGCTCCCCACTGAGCAAGGAGCCTGATGTAGGGCTCAATCCCAGGACCCTGGGATCATGACCTGAGCTGAAGGCAGACGCTTAACCATCTGAGCCAGCCAGGCGCCCTGCAATTCAGTTCTTTAAAGAATTGGAAGCAACGGTCTTTATCTTGCAAATCTCTACAAAGCCAGAAATATGGTTCTAGAAGCAATTCAAAGCTTACTATTCTCACCAATCCCAAAACCCCTACTCATCTCAAAATTCTTGTAGCTATTGTAAAAGATCAGGAAATTAGAAACACAAATGTCTTGCACCTAAGGAAAGGAAAAACTTAAATAGTAACAAATGCAGGGGCGCCTGGCTGGCTCAGTCAGTAGAGCATGTAACTCTTGACCTCGGGGTCATTAGTTCAACATCCACATTAGGCAGAGAGCCTACTTAAACAAAACAAAACGAAACAAAACAAAATAGTAATTAATTTAAACCTCTGATAATAGGCAAATACACCCTCAAAACTCCTACTGTGAGGCCTTGCCAAGTCCGAGGACCCAGAAGGGGTCCTGAATGACCCCAGAAGGGTCCTTGGCTATATGCAGGATAGAAATCAAACTTGAGCCAGGAGGAAGTGAGACCAGAGTTTACTGATGATATATGAAGAGAGAGTAGATACAGATGGAGAGGCTGGGAGACTCAGAAAGGAAAAGGAGAATGAGTCTTGTTTTTGCTTGGGGTCTGGTGTTTTTACTGAGAACAGTCATCTGGTGTACGTGTCTTCTCGGGCATTCAGGAACTGGTCAAACAAAGACAAGTGTTCAGCTGTCCTCCATAAGTCACTTATGCCCTAAAGCCAGGGGTCTTGGTGTCAGGGTGTCTGTAGTCAGTGGTCTTGGAAAACATACTTGATAACCTTGCCTGGTGACTCCTTAGATGTTATCTATTACGCTGGAAGTCCCCAACAAAAATCATTAACTCCTTGACCTTTACAAGGAGGACATACATTAAGGCAGGGGTGCAGGTTCTAGCAAGAATAGAAGCAGGAAAAGGAGCAAAGAAAAAAAAAACAGCTTTCTTTCTTTGGGTCCCTTCAGTTTCCTCTCTCACTATATTGGAGAAAACTTGGATAATGTCTCTGTGCCTTTGTGATGTAGATTTTCTACTCCCATCTTCTCTGGGAACTAAGAACCATTTTTTTAAAATGCAAACTTTAGGGAGAAGTTTCTCATGAGAAGAAATACAAAGAGGGTAGGTATTTAGAAAGTGGGCTAATAAAAAATCTTAAATGTATTCTTCACAAATATTAGTAGAAAAAGCTTTAGCCAACTTGGGAGGTAAACTTAATTTTTTCCATTTGCCAGAAACACAGCTTGGATCCAACTTCTATTTTATAAACAAGTAAGTTTTGCATTATTATGCCCATCTCACAGCTAAAGTTTATTTTACTTTATTTTTTTAAGATTTTATTTATTTATTTATTTATCTATTTATTTGAGAGAGAGAGAGCATGAGCAGGGGGGTAGAGGGAGATGGAGAGAGAGAATCTCAAGAAGACGCCACGCTAAGCTTGGGCACCAATGCAGGGCTTGATCTCACAACCCTGAGATCATAACCTGAGCTGAAACCAAGAGTCGATGCTTAACCAACTGAGCCACCCAGACATCCCTCATGGCTAAAATTTTAAAACAAAGCTTTAAGATTCCTTTGAGTCTGTCTATATGTTTATGTGTATCTGTGCATGTATACACATGTTATAGATGTGTGATATTTTTGTTGCTAAAATTAATTCGTAGGACAGCTCTATTTAATTGGCTTAAAAACAAGTTCTTCTAAACATAATTGTTGGGAACAAATTATTTAGACAGATGTAAGTAGAATAAGAGTTACAGATAAACTCTTTAGCAACAATTATATTTTAAGGTATGTGTTCTTAGAAACAGTTTCTCAAATCTCTTCGGTAACTTGAAACTTTAGTTTTGCTAAGTTAAAATAAATGATGAGATATTGATTGAATATCTAGATCATTTTCAAATAAGATAAAATATAGTGATTGTAGAAAGAAAAATTAGAAAGTAAATGTACAAAGTAAAAAGAAAAATGCCTCAGTAGAAATTATAATGTGTAGATACCAGATTTTAGTCCTGTTAACTCCAGTCATGTTAATTGTCTTTGAGGTTTTGGTATTTCCTATAAATTGGATGGATCCTAAATTCTCCTAGTTTCCTCATCTGGCTACAATCTCCAAACTAACTTTTCCAATTTTCTCCCATCCTTTGATTTGGAATCACTGAGAACTAAAACTGTCCTTCACCCTGAAGCCCTGCAAACTGAAACTAGACACCTGATACAAATTTCAGAGGAATCAGGGCGCTTGGGTGGCTCAGTCCGTTAAGCAGCTGACTCTTGAGTTCAGCTCGGGTCATGATCTCAGGGTATTGAGATCGAGCCCCAAGTTGGGTTCCATGCTCAGCTCGGAGTCAGCTTGACTTTCTCTCTCCCTCTCCCACTGCTCTTCCCCATCCCTGCCTCCGTGCTCTCTCTCTTTTCAAATAAATAAATCTTTTTAAAAATTCAGAGAAATCGCCACAATAGCTGATATTTAGACAATCTTCTTCACGCTTGTTGCTGTATGGTCCTCTTAGAAAGTTTATCGGTACTCAGATGATATAATCAGAGGCATTCAAACTGCAAACCAGGAAAACCTCTCAGATTGTCATTGCCTCCCCTCACTCCATCCGAAGGTGCTTCCAACCCTGACAACTAGAACTCTTGACTGGCCGTCCCCTGGGCTCAGACTGATTTATAATTTGCTCCAATCATTAACCTTTGCTTTTCTTTTGTTTCCACAGAAATAGTTCTTGTTAATTAACTGATTGCTTGCACAATATAGGCCTAACTTTGGGATCCCACCTAGACTGCCTTCTGAAATGAGACGCGAGTGTTTAACTGAACTGACCGATTGTCAGGACTAAGAGACAGCTTCAGTGAGATGGAGCAACTCAGGCTTCTTTTTTTTTTTTTTAAAGATTATATTTTTATTTGACAGAGACACAGCGAGAGAGGGAATACAAGCAGTGGGAGTGGGAGAGGGAGAAGCAGGCCTCCCGCGGAGCAGGGAGCCCGATGCGGGGCTCGATCCCAGGACCTGGAATCATGACCTGAGC